AAGAAAAGAGTCAAACAGAACTGAAGCGATGAGGAAAAGCCAAGAGTGGCTGCAGCAGCCTAGAATGGATATGACCCTGCACCTGGCACCGGCCCCCTCCCCTCCACGGTCTCATGTCTAGCTTAGCCTGGAGAGCATCAGCGGAGCTGCTTACAGTTGGATTTGTCGTTACTTCTGTAATTGTCATTGTTTGGTCCCTCCTTCCTGCTTTGCAAGTTTGCCACCGTCCTGGGCCCAGCCAAGGAGCACACTGTGGTATTTGTGGGGTCCCTCAGAAGCCCTTATTCTGTCAGTGCCAAAGGGGGCAGCTATGATTCTTATTTCTTTTCCCAGAGGGGTGCTTTTCCTTAGGGACAGAAGGGTGGGTTTTTTCCAACAGTTCAGCAAATGAAAAATTCCTTCAGGAAAACATTCATGTGTGTATATAATTATATACTCAAGAGGAGAAAGAGGTGCAGGGGTTTTTGTTTTCCTTTTGTTGTTTGTTTAACATCCTCACATTCATGTTGTAATTAATTCTGAAGTCTTACTCTGAATTTGAATCATCGCTACCGAGGAGTCAGAAAGCATGCAGACTTCTCCCTGTTTCCACAGCAGGGCTCATTGCCACCAACCCTCCCCAACAGATTTACAGGTCACAAGGGTGTCAGCTTTAATGCATCCACCCTGCGCGAACCTCCCTCCTTCTCACCCCACATCCCATTGGGCCAAAAGGACGTGGGAGCTTCAGGGAACAGGACTTGGAAGTGCTGCCCAGTTTTAGATGCCATGGTCCCTGTTGCTTCCAGCGAAGCATGGCATTTGAGATCTCACGAGATTCCTCCCCCATGAGAAAATGGTGACAGAAGGAGATCCAGTCACACAACATTTCTGCTTGGTCCGTTAGATAAAGCAAATGTAGCAGCAGAACTAAGAATGATAGGAGAAGAAAGAAGTGAAGGGAGAGCTAAGGAAGAAGAATAAAGAAACGAAGAATGGTTTGTGAGAAAAAGGAAAAGAGAGAAATGTAATGGAAACATTCATTATTATTCAGAATAATACTTAACAGTTTGATAGAATTTTCTTTCCAGGATCTCAAAGCACTGAGCCAGTGCTAATTAATTCAGCTGCGCAATCCCCCTGTGAACTAGGAACTATTGTTATCCCCATTTTACAGAACGTTGGAATTGAGGCAGAGGGGGGAAATTGGACTTGACAAAGATTCTCTAGAGCCACAAGGAGAACTGGGGAGTTTGAGTTCCCAGATGCCTGCTCTCATATCAGTAATGCTGTTCCCTCTCTGGATAGAAAAGTGCATTGGGAATGAAAAATAATAAAAGAGAGAGAGAAATGGAATGGAAGGAGGGTGTGAGAAAGCAATGGGAGAAAGGGAAGAGACAGCAGAATGGAGGAGAGAGAGGTGAGTCATAGACTTCACTGGATTTTGCATAGTGATTTCTTCCTCCAATTCTTTTTCATTTTTTCCCGTAAAACTTTTTAAAGAAAAAAAAAAATCCACCTATAACAAAGCAACTGTTGGCCTGTTGGGGAAGGGGTCCTTCCAAGGTTTGGCTGTTCCCTCAGGTTCTAGGTTTGTGCTGTGCTTTATTGAACACATTGTTTTGTTTTCAGTGAGCACAACGAGACTTGCACAGTACAGACAGCGTGTTCCTTATCTACAGGATGAGACGAGGCTGTTTTAATAACTACCATGATGAAGATGGAGATGAACTTATATACAAGAGGAATTGCCTTCACATTACACACATTATCTTCCTACAAAGCAGCAATTGTTTTTGCAAATAACATAATATTAAATAATTGGTAGAATTTTTGCGTTTCCTGCATAGTCCAGTCTAATGGAATCTATATGAATATTGATGGTTTTCTTCTGCATAATATCACCACATAATTCCCCATGTCAGCTACTAGACTTTAGCTATAATACTGCTTTACAATGCATCCACCGACTGTAAATCAAAACAACCAACACAAGAAACTCTTTGGCAAATGTAATTCAGTACATTCGCATGGGGGTCTACAGATGGTGGTGGAAGAGGATTAGACTGCCCAGTCCTTTGCATAATTCTGCTTTCCTTTTAATTCTCCTGGTCAAACTACATGCCGTACTTATGAACTTTCCAGACCAATCCAATGCCTGGTGGAAATCCTCTTTTATCAGTGGAGTAACACCAACAATGGATTTGGCCCTCCGAGGGTCAAATCAAGCCAGCCATGAGTGAGCCAACCAAATCTTGCTTTCATACCCTAGCTCGTGTCTCAAGTTTAGTGAAACACCATTATAGAAATAAGCATTTCTGAGCTGCTAGCTTCTCTTGAGGTGGCCCCTGGGCTGCAGGTTGCCAAGTGTGAGGCGTGACAGTCTCCTTTTCTCTGGCCTCCTCAGGAGGTTCTCCTCGCTGGACATGGGATTTGCTGCCTCTGCTCCGCCCACCTGCTGAGTGAAACCGGGTGGTGCACAAGCAGAGCAAAGGCTGTACTGAGAGACTAAAAGGGAGACTTTACTAACAGAGTCCAGCATCTATCTGGTGTCTGTGGAGGAAAACAGAAGGAGTGGTGAAAGTTAATTTTTAGAAATTACTCAGAATTTTCTTCTTACATAGAATAAGATGAGATAACGGGCCAAATTCTGGTCTCAGTGACAGTGTAACAACTCTGCTATTTGCAGCAGGTTACTCAGAGGTAAGACATGCGGAATAACACTTTTAATAGATCAGGAGTAACCTCTTTGATTTTATTCCGTACAGGAACAGATTTTAGCTCTATATCTTCTATGTAAACATCCCCCCCCCCCCCCCCGATACCCTTATCATTTGGGCATCCCATTAAAGAAGACACAGGCCTATAATCAGCTAGAGCCATGCAAGGGCTAAAAGTGTTAGGTGAAAGGGGCCTTTGGGATCAACACAGCTGTTTACTGATGATGGATTTCATACATACAAGTTAAACTTGGAGACAGAATACCGAGTCCGCAACCACATCTCCTCTGAGGCTGGGAACTTTGGATTTTATACATAATGTTGGCTGTACAGATTGCTCCGCTGTTCACTTTTATGCCCTTCAGGGGTTTGATTCTCAATCCTGTCTTTGTCCATGGACAGTAGCCCACGAGTTTTATCTGAAACCTCTCTAAAGCAACAAGGATCTACTTTGGCAGACTTAATGCCCTGGGGACAGGCTACAGCTGCCTTCGTGTTTTCTTTGAGTACTTTTTAGGAAGTGTCAGTGCAAGGAACAGTTTATGAGTAGTGTGCTGACGATACAGGAGTAATAAGCATTTCTATTGACAGTTAGCCTTTTGCAGAACAGTGTTTGCCAGTCACTTGGGAACCAAAAAGAGCAGAGAATCCCTAGAGAATCATCAGGTGAGCATTTGGGATAAGGGGTAAATATTAGGGTGCACAATATAGGATTGAAGATGAAAAGATGGGGCTGTATGTTGGGACTGGCTGGTAGGATGCAGGCATATGGATTTGAATGGGGCCTATAAATTAGTAGGTGTATGAGCAGATGGACTGGGAATCGAAGGGGGCCCATATAGCAAGGCTATAGTGGTTAGGAAATTAGGTGTTGGGCACAGATAATGAGGCTGTTGTCACCGGCTGCGGGGATCTGGAGAATGGGTGTTGGGCATATCTAAAATTTCGAAAGTTGGGATGTGGGTGAACTGAAGTCGTCACGGGTACAGGGGTTAAGGTAAAAGGAGCGGCGGCTAAGGGCTAGGGAACCAAGCAATAATCCCAGCCAATCCTGAATTTGTCCATCTCAGTCTCAGCTGTCCAGAGGGCAATCAGATGGGCCCACATGAAGCCCCACACCTTCCACCACGCAGCGCAGTTAGAGCGCAGCTGGGCTTGTTTTCTTTGTTTGCCAACCAGTGACATGGAAAACGTTTGTTGACTCAGAGTGCTGTTTTGTCGACTGATGTGTTTGGTAACTTTGTCAGATGTGACTTGTCCACACTGCTCCCCAGAGACAGGATTTGGGAAAGGGGGAGGAGGAGGAGGCGACGGGGGTGGAGCTGGCATCCAATCCTCTCCAATACCACCATCCCATTGTAGTGCAAAACAGAAAGGAAACAAAACCCTAGAGTGAAAGAGGAGCATCAAACGTCAGAGGAACTCGTCTGCCATTCAGGCGGCGGGGAGGGATGGGACTTGGAGTTTTATTTTTGTAGGGTTTTTTAAATATTATTTTGGTTTTTTTGTTGTTTTTGTTTGCTTGGGTTTTTTAGAAAATTGGGGATTTGTTCTTTTTTTTTTCCTTTTTACAGACCTTCATGACAAAGCATAAAAACACAGTTATATTTATATATCTATTTATATATTTCTTCATTTCGTCGGTTGGTTTGTAAATGTTGCTCCATCCTCCTGTCTGAGCTGATTGTGTGTCACAGAAATTGTGGGTGTATGCGTGAGGTTCCTCCCAACTCTGGCCCGCAAAGTCACCGCGCGTGAGGTGCAGCCAACAATGGGGGAAGCCATGCTGGAGAGTGGGGGCGAGGTGCACAGAGAACCCCTCGTGGGGTGCAGAGAGTTACTTGGTCCTTTTTCTCATTGCCAGATGGGCCAGGTCTCTGTGCTGCCCTCTCTGCTCTAGCCAGACTGTTCCCTCTGTCCTGGGAAACAGGGTGAGCATCACAGGTTACGCATGTTGAAGAGTCCACCACAGAAGAGCATATCTTTGGGGAACAGTGTTTCATGAGCGGCGTTCTTCCCCGCTTCCCCCGGCCCTTACCACTCCCAGAAGAAGGGGGTCCTGTAAGGCAATGGTTGCCAGCTGCATTGCTTCCCAGTCCCCCTCAAGTCCCGGAAGCCAAGGGGACTCGGCGTGGCTGAGCTTTGCCCAGGCGCGGTGGAGGGCTCCCGCAGGAGAAGCTGCTTGGCCGCAGGCTCTTCCTGGGTGGGGGGCACGGTTGGGGGATGGAGGGAGGTGATCAGACAGGTACAATGTGGAGGCCTAAGCTGTCGCCCTGCAGTTTCATGTGGTTTCCATGGTAACTAGTGGCGGTCATAGGCAGCGGCAGCAGTGGGAGGTGCGGAGCCCCGGGATGTGGCACTATAATAATAAGGGGAACCTGAAAGTTAACACAGGAGAAGAATGGACTGGTTGAAAGGACAAACAGTAAAAAAAAATAAAATAAAGTAAAATAAAAAATAAAACAATCAAACGAAGAAAAGAAACAAAGGAGAACTGAAAAGAAAAGGAAAGGAGGAAAGAAAAGGAAAGTAACCAAAAGAACAAACTTGGGGACTCAGCTTTTGATAGGATTAGGGAAAGGCAATTGGCGGAAGCCAGCCAAGAGCCACATTTCAGTGGGTAGATACTACCGTGGCCTCTGGTCTGAAGCCCCTCTACGGGAAGGAGATCCTTTTGCTCCTTCTGACCATCAGTAAGTTGCCGAGAGGGAAGCCCGTGAGCATTGCAGCACAAATACGCCACACCTGATCTGCAGCCACAAGGGAAGTGTCAGGGCCAGATGTTCTGAGCATACCTGACAAAGTATAGCGGGTCACTTTTAAAATCAGGGGGGGAGAAATCAAACAAAATTACAATGGTTTATTGCTTGGGATTTTGGTCACATTTGGCATGAAAGCTCTCTAGATGGTTATTGAATGTGTGTTTTAATAGTGATTGATTATTAAGATCACATTTACTGAGGTTTAACAACATGGGAATAAAATGTGTATCTATTATCCAGTTGTTAAACCTCAGTAAATACGTAGGTAATAATCGCAGCTGATTTATTTTACATATAATAAATCTTTTTCTGTTCCCTTGTAAAGAAAAGTGTTAGCAGATATGGCCTTATGGGAGGTTTATTCCCCTCTGAAAAAAACCTGACTGTTTCTGGGCATATTAGAGTCACTGGAGATGGATATATCCCTGCAAGAAAACTCTAGTGGCTATTATAAACTTAGTGATGCAGCCTGTCTCCCACGCTGGATGCTCTTCCAACTGGTCCGATAGGAAGACTTTCTATTCGATTTCCAGATCCCCAGGAACCGACTGTGGGTTTAGCTTGGGAGATGAGTGAAACCTCATCTGGATTTTTAATCAGACCTTGAATGGATGCTGATTGGAGCCTGAGAGTAGCAGAACCTGAATTTGACTTCTGATCTCATCTGGAATAAACTGTGGATGCAGGCCATGGAGAAGAAAGAGCTGAACTGGAATTCTGAACTGTCTCATGCAAGAGGAATCAGCTTCAGAACACATACAAAACACGTGAGGTATATACCGATCTAGACACTGGACTGGAGAGTGAAGAAAAAGGCCTCTCACCTGGCCAAATACTTGAAAGCCCTCTTCAGAAAGAAACAACAAAAAAAAAAACAACAAAGAAAAGAAAACAAAGAGACAAACAGAAGGAGCGCGAGGCTGGGGGGGGTGCTGTGGGAAAGAGGTACTCACTTAGTAACGCAGGGTTGCTGAACCGCCAGGCCTCATTGTACGTTGTGTACTGAGGGTGGCTGTAGGGGTTCCCTGAGAACTCGCTCCCTGGAACAAAGCAAGGAAGGTGTGAATCACAGTCAAGAATGAAGATTTATGTCTGCTGTTCCATCAAGCCAGTGTTCATGTTGAATCTGTATGCTGGCAGGAAAACTAGTGTATGTAGGTAGCTTCCTTGCCCAGCTGGGAGTGTGCCCTTCAGAACACTGCAGTGTTTGTTCAGTGCAATGTTGCTGACCCATACAATTAAAAATCATACCATTGACCTCTTCAGAATCAAGAAATTAGTTTAAAATAACGAAATTCAATAATACAAATAAATAATTAAACTGGTTGATTTTTCATTGCCTTCTGACTTCTGATTCTCAGGTTGCAGTAGGATTGCATGTGCAAGCTTTTTCTTCAATTAACTATCAGCTTTCTTTTAAATAAAATCTAAGGTTCTACAGTAGTGTCACAACAGCAGGCATGGGAGGTTGACGGGACAAGCTCACTGGAACCAGCAGTGCTGTTGATGGCAATATATATTGCTAAGTTTTGTTCTTAAGGTGCTGAGGGTGAAGAGTATCGTTCGTTATTGGAAATGTTCTGAGAGTAGAGTGGGCTTAAATATAAAACAAAATGGAAAACATATGAACCACTCTTTCTTTCTTACTCTATATGATGGTGTTAGTCAGAAGTGTGATTTGTATATGATGAACAACACCTTTATGCTTAGTGAGTGAGTTACAGAGAAAACTTGCTGAATTCCAGTTCCAGAAAATAATTTTCTAATGATTAGTGCCTTAGGTGCTATTCTGAATCTGAAAGACAAGCTGGGCTACATCTCCCTTTTTCACACTCAGTAAAATGGGACCAAACCAAAATACTTGTGGGCTTTGTGATCTAATAAGACTCTGACCCAAGATTTGAATGTTGTAGAGTCTTCTTAAATATTCGGTTTTGTTGTGCATAAGGAGCTGGGTCTCCTTGTTTTATAGAAGGCTGTGCAGGGCTGAGGGAATTATATTTAGTAGCTGAGGAAGTATGGTGCTGTATTCAAAATAAATAAATCTCCCCAAACTTAAAAATATATGGTTCTGTTAAGTAAAAACATGCCACTATCTGATCATAACCTCAATTTAATGCAGTACCGACAGGCTGGGGACAATTAGTGCCATCTGAAAGGCATTATGCGCTTAAAAGATAGTGAAAGAAAGTGTGACTAGTAGCTGCTGGTCTGCCCTGAGGCGGGGGGGGGGGGTGGGACAGCAGAAGTGTTTGGACAGCACCTGGGGTTCCTGCTAGATACCATGGAGGAGGGAAAGAAGGCAACGCAAGACGCGCTGGATGCCTGTGATACAATTACCAAAGAAATGTCAATTAATTGTACTGTAATCTCTGCAGATCTCCCCTCACCGGAGAGTTAAAGCCAAAACCACAGATTCTCAGATGGTGGAAATTAAGTCTGTTGAATTCAGGGGATTTGCACTGGTTTAAACTTGAGGAGAATCTGTGCAGCCAGGTTTTTTAAAGATACTCAGGGTAAATAACCAAAGTAGTCAGTACGAAAATGTGTATGTATCAAAAACAATCCAAAGGTATTTTAGTCACAGTAGTTTTTAGTTTCATCATAAAACCTCATTTTGCGTGACAGACCTTGCTAAATACTGTTTTAAGGATAATAACTCAGCATGTTTCCATATCTAGAAACATTCTGCACTGAAAATCCTGACAGCTAACTGGGAAGGAATAGGTGAAACCTGCTAAGGTGACCAAGATGCTGTGGGATAGGATACAAAGACAAAAAGCAATGCGTAGTCCAGATTTAGCTCTACTGAAGTGACTCATCTGTGGGATATGCTGGAATGAGTTTGCCCCCCAAAGAATGAAATAAACTATCCAGATGAGAATTTCTGCTTTGATATGCCTCATATAAGCATCACTTTTCTTCATGGAGAGAAGTTCTGACGTTTCAAAGCTTCTCTCTCACCTTCTTCTGAGTTGTCACCCTAAACTGTTCATAGTGTTCCTAAAGCACAGGTTAAGTAGAGGAGAAAGAGCCCCAGCTATGGAGAGCTGGGGAGGAGGGAGGGCAGCCACTGGAAACAGTGTTTATTGACGAGGAGTGAAAGCATGCATGCAGCAGGATAATGAGCTTTTGAGCTCAACTGTGACCAAGAGGAACTGAGCTATCGCCTTCCCCAATCGCTAATGAAACAAGTGTAATTTCCTCATCAGCATTGGATTCTGTTTAACGACTCCCTGCCGTTGCCATCACCAGCCCTCTGCAGGCTCTACACTGCTCTGTGTAAACCGCAGTTCCCTTCAGCGGATGCTCACTTCACTAAAACAGTTTGCAGAAACTTGATGGCCTTTCTGGGAAAGAGGAAGAATTGAGGCAGGGATCAAAGGTGCTCTGTTACCTGTGCAGGAAACATCTCTCAGACGCACAGGTTAAGTGTAGCACAATTCATCCTTCTTTGAGTGACTAACCCCTGCTGTAAGTGTGTGCTCAGAGACTACTGCCTTTCATCCATGTCTGCAGCCTGGGACCTGAAGTTACAGGCAAAGACAAATGCAGGACATGTATCTTACCACATCATCCGCATAAACCTCAGAGATATTTGCATGCATGACTGACCACATTGCATGGATGTACTGCTACTATAGACAAGCTCTTCTCTAGACCGTACAAGTAGAAGTCTAATGAAAGGTTGTCACGGATAGAACAGAGCAGCTTTGGTTAGCACTGGTCAAACAATCTTCTCAGAAACAGTTTTCCACTGGAAAATGCTGTCTCATTGAAATGGAAATGTTTTGCACGAGCTTGTCAGCTTCAATGGAGTTTTGGAAAGAAAAGTTCTGAAATGATTGCAAATTGAAACAAAGTATTATGTTTCAACTTTCTTGTTTTGTTTCATTTTGCCTTTCTCATCTCATTTAATTTCCTTTCAACTCTTTTATTATTTTAATAAGTCTTGACATCTAGAACATGTTGAGTTTATTGAAATGTTTCATCCTGATGTTTGCAAATTGAACTATTTCAAGATTCTGACTCCTCATCCCAATGCAAGATGAAAACAAACGTCAAAAAATCAGAGTTTTACATGGGGTGGAAATTCTGCTTTCTGACCAGTTCTATTTTTAGCTCTGTACCTTTCTTTAGAGAAGACAGGGCCTCTTTCTCACATTCATTCACATCTGGACAATAAGGTTTGTTTGTGTGTCAGTATGTTTCTTAAAGATACTCCCTGAGTGGTCATCTTGCTGGCTTCTTGTTTCCAATATAGTTAAAGCACTGGTCCCTGATCTTTCTTGGCCTAGGGGCATGTAACAAACCATTGGCGACATCATATTTGTTTTCTCCGTTTAACCTGGACTCTTAACAGAGGTTGCAAGCAAGCACAGAGGATCGATCTCATGAGGCCTATATTCTGTGCAATCTGTGCTCTGGGAACCTTTACTAACAGTATTTCTTGGTATCTGTATTTAAATCCTGGCAAGTTTAGTCTTCTAATACAGAAACCATGAGGCATGAAGTGAGCCTAGCAGGTGGCAGGTTCAGAACAAATAAGAGAGGTAGTTTTCACACAATATGTAGTTAAGCCACAGAACTTCTTGCCATAGGTTGCTACAGATGTTAAAGGCTTATATGGGTTCAAGAGACACTGTTTAAGTTTGTGGAGGGGAAATCTATCGAGGATGTTTAATATTAAATAGCAAGATACTAAGTCTGGCTTAGGAAGCCTCTGAGCTGCAACCTGTTGGAGGCTGGGAGATCTTTTGAGAAAGTACTGATATGTGCTTGCTCTACTCTTATACCCTTCCCCGGGCATTCACTTTTGGCCCCTGACAGAGAGTAGTGGCTGCAGAGGTCTGCAGTGTGACCCATTAAAGTCAAGTCTTATGTTTCTTCCCAGGAAGCCTCTTTATCTCCAGCTTGTTGGCTTCAGTCACATTAGCAGACAGGAATAGAAGGGATGCCAGGCTGGGTCTGACCAGTGGAGTATGACTGAAACAGCCAGAACTTGATGCTCTGTGGAAAGATGCAGTAACTACTGCAGGATGCCCAAGTAGGCCACTGGAAAAACTTCCTCTAATTGAACGTTGACATCAGATTTAATGTAAAGATATCCATTTGACTTGAATAATCTTTTTTTCTCTGAAGTATAACTCAACTTTTTTCTTTATCATCCTGTTCCTTTTCTTTTTGGGGGTATTATTTGTGTGTTTTTGGGGACACTGCTGTCTTATGGATAAGTAGCCTCCACATCAAGGAGCTGAAATAACCTGTTCTTGGATGAGTGACCCCTGTCGTTAGTGGTATTAAAATTTTTGTCCCAGTTTAGATGTTAATATCATCCTTGTGATGAGGATGTTAAACTTACACAGCAGTCACTGAACAGCTGAGAAGTTAACTGTTAGAAGTTAAGAATAGCCTGTTATTTAGAAGTACCTATTCAAAGAGCCAGCTATTTTGGTGTTATTAATCATTTCTGTATGCAATGACCTTCTGTAAGTTTTGACCTATAACTGACTTAAATGTTGACAACTGAGTCTACCTACTGTTACTGGGGGCGGCGGTAATGGATTTATGTTGTCTTAGTGCTTCTCTGATTCGGGACTCAAACCATCTCCCTGAAAAATTTAGTGTAGAAGGAGATGCCCTAAAATTTGCCAACTCTGAACCACCCTAAAAGTTCAGCAAGCTGGTCAACTATACCAAGGAACTAAATTGGGGGTGAGGAGGGGACTAATCCACTATCTTTTCCTGATCTGCAGGTCATTCACATCATCTTCACAGCATAGCCTGAGATTTTGTTGTACCTTAGGATCATAAGCGGTAGGTAGCTTGTTAGCTCTGGCATGTGACCATAGGTATTAGCCAGTAGTTCATGGTATGTAAGCAGTGATTTGTCATTTACAGATGTTAAGACTTTGACCTGCAAAAATTTCCTATCAGTGATATTTTCACTGTCCTCGCTGCAGTGTATGTTCATTTAGCTAGCTGTTCCAAGATTTGGATGAGGGTTAAGTTAGGCTTTTCACTCATAAGCCCTGGCAAATCATATCGTAGTGATTTAAGAGCTTTCTGTCCTCAGCTTTCTGCTGCCTCGGTTCTGGAGTCATCCCTCCAGTAGCAGAGGTTGCAGAATGGGCTGTGTACCTGCTTATTAGCTGTCACAACTCACAACCCAGGGCAGTAACATAAACAGAAATCGGTGGCAGATGAAGTTCTGAGCTACTGTGGCTGAGAAACAAAAATCCTGCCCCTTCATTTATCTACTGGGGATAACTGTCATCAGAGGAGTAGGGAATAGAACCTGGGGAAATAAAATCTTCAACTGCCCTAGGGTAAATGGTGAAATGTTCTCCCTAAACAGTGGGAGAATCCATTTACCAAGAGAAGGTATTTCTCCAAAGGCACTGGGTAGCAAAGAAACAGTTTGCCTTTGGATGTAGGATTAGGTAGATAGTGCCTCCAATCCAAGAAACTATCTTACAAACAGGAGGTGGGCAAGTAGGTGGCTGTTGAAAGTGAATAGTTAGTTTCTCCTGAAATGATATTTAATCATTGCTGATTTCTTAGGTAGTTTAGGCTATGGACAGTAGGTCTCCAAAAACTGCAGGTATTAAATTACCATTGATGATTTTCAGTTTGATGCCCTGGCTTTAAATAGAAGGTAAGTTGTTACCCTAAGTTAGTGGATAGCTGAATATCCTGAGCCACGAGCGGTACATAATAATCTGCACGGGTCATTGGAAAATAATTACATTAGTTAATGAATACTAAGGTTAATTAATTACCAATTAATTGCCACAGGTTATAGATATCTAGTTGCCCGTAGCAGCAGTGAATCAGTTACTAGGGGGAAAGAGAGACATTACAGAAAGTGTCATTAGCTACATTGGTTATAGGCACCTGATGATTTCTTTATGAAAAGAATAGGCCCTAATATCAGCAAAGCAATAGCAAAGCCAGCTGTGAAATCTCTTACAATGCTAGTATACCATTCAAACATATGTGCACCGTTATTGAAGTCTGGAGGCTGACTTACCAGGAACCATTCCTGCAAGAGTTGAGGTTGGGTAGCTGCCTTGTCCAGTTGGGGGAACATGGGGTGGGTAGCCAGGTAAGGTGGTGCTTGCCATATCACGACCTGGAAAGGGAAAGAATCAGGACAAGTGATCAACAGGGATAAGATCTTTCAATATTGATTTTATATCACCTTTTGTCCCACCATCACATGACTAGCAGCTCGATAGGCAAGTGCTGTGTAGCCTTCTCTTACATAAGTGCTGTCCAGTCACTGAAAATTTTGGGGGAAGGTTGTGGCACTTTTGATCTCACACTGTAAGGATGGATGTTAAAACTTAGCTTTGTGAGGCTCAAAAAAATTTGTTTTGTTTCATTGTAGATTTTGGATCTATTTTAACTAAATCAAAATGGCCCTAAGCTGCACAGAGAATGGCAGCATATTCCTTGCCAGAGGAGCTGAGGTCCTGTCTATATGCAGTGGATGCAGTTCCAAAACTGTGGTGATGTTGCTTTAGGGCATGATCAATGTGCAAGGCATTGGAAAGTGATCCAAGAGTGTTCTGTGCCTGTCTCTCTTCCCACCTCTGCCATTCACCTGCTGATGATTTTAGCCAAGTCACTTCACCTCTCTGTGCTTCTTTTTATGCTGCAAACTCTTTGGTGCAAGGGCACACTTTTAGTACATTTGCACAGTGCTTAGTATGAGATCAATACTGGTTGGACTCCTTCCAGGTGCTGGTGTAATATATATAATAATAGGATCATGAGAATTAATTTGAGTCCCACTTCATTTTTATCACAGGTATGAGTTTTTGTTAGTAATACTTAAAGACGTGATATCTTTTCTCCACCAAAGAAGTAGAGAGGGGTGTGGACTGGGTGGATGATCGTAGTTTATTTTTCATCTCTTAGGAAGTGCAGCTGGAGGCTTCTTGGTTGATGCCAGAGGCATTTCCTCATTTGGACTGGTTAGCCTGAAAATGGGCCAGCCAGAAGGGCATTTTGCTGTTAGTGCTTATTGCATTTAAATGAACTGAAATCATCTCAGAAGCTGCTGGGAGTTTCAAGCCAAAACAAAAAAAAACAAAAACAAAAAAAAAAACCAAACCAAAAAAAGGCTAAATAAATTAAGATAATCTTTCTCCCACAGCTGCTGGGAGATTTACTGCTCAACCTCCAACACTGCCTACTGAGATCTTAGCCTGTTCCAGGCATCCAGACCCTTTCACATTCCCTAGGTGAACTGTAGCTCACCAAGAGGTTTGTGCTAGTTGTTGTTTGAAATCATCTCAGAGAATCTGCGGAGTTTAAAGCCAAAACAAAAAAAAAAAAAAACAAAAAAAAACCAAACCAAAAAAAGGCTAAATAAATTAAGATAATCTTTCTCCCACAGCTGCTGGGAGATTTACTGCTCAACCTCCAACACTGCCTACTGAGATCTTAGCCTGTTCCAGGCATCCAGACCCTTTCACATTCCCTAGGTGAACTGTAGCTCACCAAGAGGTTTGTGCTAGTTGTTGTTCCTTTGTTAGATTTTGTCTCTGCTGTCTGTTCTAACTGGAGGGCTGGAGCCTGATTCACCTTTAGAAGTGACAGGTTAAGTATGGCCCATTAACACCACTGGAGTCACTGGAACTGTGCTGGGATATGCCAGTGAAAGAAGAGTAAGGGTTGATTTAGCTTTGCTAGTGGCAGAATAGTAACTGATAAAGCAGGCCCTGGAACAAGCATGAACCTTGGCTGGGGAATCAGAAATAAATAACAGTTGCACAGCAAAGCAAAAACTACTCAACATGGAGCATGAACCTGAAGGGAGGAAGTTTCTCTGGGATGAGGCAGGCTAAACCAGTGTCATTGCTTTCATAGGTCTTGACTAAAGATTACTGAGGTGATCTGCTCAAGAAAAAAGAAATGCAAGTTCATTCTTTCTCCCTGAAGAGGTTCCTGATCGGTGGCTGATGTTCCTAGCTCACCTCCTCTTAGATAATGGCACAGAACTACCAGACAACGGCTGAGCCATTTTCCAGCCACTCCCCGTTATTGATAAAAATAAATATATAATGCCTCAGGGATTTATATTCTACACTCTTCTACTCTTTTATCACCATCATTCCTTTAGTGATTTGTAGCTGTGCGTTAAGCTGTATGATTAACACCTACTAGATGTAGTTCTATTTTTTTTTCTCACATTCTTTTAAGGCAAGAAAGTTTTATGCTTAAAATTCATGTCCTTTTGGTTTCATATATTGACTAGCCTGAGAAATAACAACAGGTGATGAGTGAGAAAACTGTCACTGAAAAGTTACAGAGAACATTATGTAGCAGCAGGCAAAATTAATTCATTTTGACACTTCCATTCATGTGGGAGCGCATACGCACTCACTCTGCTACTCGATCTGTGCACATACGTCCCTGTGTTTTTATTCAGACATGAGTGCACAGAGGCTGATGTTCAAAACTCAGTGTGGAAAATTTGTTGGGAAGTGATCATCTGTCAAAATCCCAGTCTTGAAAAAGACGATAACAAATAAGTACAGCGTCAGCAACTCAAGTAAGTGTCCCACAGAGAGACTCTCAAAATGCTGTTACATACAAGCAGGCCCCTTCCGTTACCTCCTCTCGTTACCAACAGGTAGACGGAATTATTAAATTCTGGTACTCCAGGGCTATGGCAAAGCTAGCACCTATCCTGCTCATAACATGCTTCCAACTCCAGCCATTCTCCCTTCTCCAAGCGCCTGCTGAGTGAGGAACAGCACCTTCATCACTGTGGCATTGTTTGAGCTTTTGAGCACTTTCTCCCATGTCTAATTCTCCATAAGGGTCCTAAGGCAGGTGCCTCTCCTGAAACACAGTGCCGTCTAGGCTAGCAGGTGGTCATATATGACTGCATCCCCAGAGAACTATATTGTTGGAGAGAGTCTGTCAGGAGACTCCTTGGCTTAGGAAGTGCCCAGAGCTCAGAGGCTCTTATCAGCTGCAGTAAGATTGGACCAAGACAGTGTTATGAATACAAAAGTCTTCTCTGCTGTTACTTTCTGCTTTTCTACAGGGATGTTTAGAAATGCAAGTCTCACCTGACAAGATAAAGGGAGGATGTTAGGTCAAAAGAGAAAAATAATATAGGAACATGAAGGAGGCAGAGGTAAGATGTGTTTCTTGAGCATTAGGAAGTCTGGTCTGCCCTAGGACTTCATCTGTTCTGAAGAAGCCCGAATTACGTTCTTTGACAGTGGAGTGACAACAGCCTCAGTGGTTGCCTAAACAGATTCCCACTATTTCATCCAAGCCACCCTGAGCTTCTGCAGCAATGTTGCTTTAGTCACCTTGCACAGGAATTTCCCCTAGTACCTACCTCAGGTCTGTATTCCTTTGGCTGTAAGACGTTATAGTCTCTTACCCACCCTTCCTGGTCTTGACATTCAGATGTGATGCCCTGTTTCTTAACTACTTGGTCTGCTGTGTGAAGGCACCAGCTTACATTGACGCTCCCAAACCAGGTGATTCAAATATTGCTCACGACATAGCTATGGTAGTGCTCACCAACTGCCTAGGTATTTATCTTAGTATGTACAGCCCATGCTGAACGACCGTGCTAACAGTCCTAGAGCTGGCTAGATTATTCAAGCTGCAATCATCTACCTTAGGCTAGCACACAGTACCCTTGCTGGGCCTGCAGGACTCAGGGGCATTATGGCTATTGAGGCAACACAGGATTTTGCTGTACGAGTGTTTCTATATTAAGTCCCAAACCCATCCAACTGGGACACCCAGTCACTTCCTAGGTAGTTACAGCTTCTTTTCCCATGTTATTCTAAAAAATGAGGGACAGGCGTGACATCTTTTTGTGACTCTCCATGGAGCTGAGAACACGTGCTGCATACACAGAACTGGAACACGGTTGCTCTGGTTCCCACTTGCACTCAAAGAGCTTGCAGCATTTACTGGTCTCCCCATCAGACGAAACTGAACCCCTTGCCTGCAGCATCCCCACTGAGTTTGTGGCCAAGGCCGGTTACCTGCTATCAGAGGCTGGCTGCTGGACTGCCCAAAGTGGGCACCATGATGAAGGAAGGCACTGTAGCAAGGCGTGGACGCATCGTCTGAAAGGGCCATGTGGAAGGGCTGAAGATCAGCCTGCCCAGAGCCGACCGGCGTGGTGGGGGTGAAAGGGGTGAGAGAGGCTCCATGAGGCTCTTGCTTTATACTGAGGGGAGAGGAGAGGTTTTCTGTGGTAGGGTAAGGGATGGACACAGACAGACAAAGGGAACAGGGGGAGGAAGAGGAGGGTGGGGAAGGGAGGAGAGGAAGAACAAAATGGGTAAATGAAAATGGAGTGGTTAAAATCTACAGGGAAATTAATTTAAAAACAAAAATAAAAATAAAAAGGTTAGGAGTAGATCAGAGGAGCCAGTGCTGAGACAACAGCAGTAAACGCACCCGGGGGCTAGGCTCTGATTGCAGGGATGCCTCTGCAGGGGCAGCAGGAGATGAGGAGAATGGAGTGCAGTGGCAGATGGGAGGAATGGGATGCAGGAAAAGGAGAGGTGAGGGAGGGAACATGCAGGAGAGGGAGGACAGGAAGAAGCGTAGGGCTGGGAAGGAGAAGAATGCTCTGAAGCTTCTGTGCTCCCTTTCCTACAGCTTCCTCTCGCTGGCCGAGGGCGTATGAAGATGCTACACTTACACAGCTTGGCCCAGGGAATTATACCACTTTGTCTCTTCAAACTCAAGGTAACCTTCCCCAGGAGAGCAGCGTGGTTATAAGCATCTATTAAACAGGATGCTTGGTGTAATGGCCAAAGTTTGTTAAGGCAAACTCTGTAAAAGCTTTGACAAAAAAGGTCCAGCTGAAGTTTGAGGTGGTTAAAATGAAAAAGGACTGTGCAATTAATAGGTGGATAGATCGATCGATTGATCGATCAATTGATCTCGTTCACAGTGGCACACTTTGGGGCTTTGACCAGAAAACCAGTCAGTACTTGACTCTGGTTGTTTGCAGAGTATAGAGTTGCCAAACGGATGCTTTGACAGAGAGATATAATGGAGGAGAGGAAATGTGAGGGACTTATAAAAGGCCTCATTTTCATTGTTGTTTGCACTGGACCTCTATTTCTGACG